TATATAATTTTTTTCTTTTTACATTTCATTTATTTATGTATTTGTCTGTTTTTGTGTGTGCATGTGTGCCACAGCACTAGTGTAGAGATCAGAGGACAACTTGCTAGAGTTGGTTCTCTCCTTCTACCACGTGGGATTGAGGGACTGAACATAGGTCATCAGACTTGCTGGAAGTGGCTTTACCTGCTGATCACACTGGCCCAGAGAAATGCCCCTTTAATGTGAATATTTATATATATTTTATTCTGCTGCTCATAATGTACTTTCCTTTGGCTAATTTTCATATTTTCTCTTACAACTTATTTTGGACTATTAAGATTCTGATGTCTCCTTCCCTCCCTCACTCTCTCTTTCTTCCCCTCCCTTCCTCTCTTCCCTATTTCCCTCCCTTGGTCCCTCCCTTCCTCCCTCCCTCCCTAGTTCCTCCCTCCCTCCCTCCCTCCCTCAATCTCTAGTCTGTTCCTGAGACAAAGTCTCTCTGTAGCCCCAGCTCGCCTGGAACTCACTATGTAGACTAGGCTCCCTCCCTCCTTCCCTCCCTCCCTCCCTCCCTCCTCCCCTCAGTCCCTCCCTCCCCCCAGTCCCTCCCTCCTTCCTTCCCCTTTCTTTCTTTCAGGGTTAGAAAATGTTGAGCCTTTTGCACCTGGAAATTTACAATTTTCATAAAATTTAAAAATTTTGACCATTCATTCTTCAAATATTTTCTGCACATGCTTTCTTTCCTTTCCCTGGAGAATTCCAATTGCACATATATTCAGTTTATTTGAAACTGTCCCACAGCTTACAGATTTTCTTGACATTTGGTTCAGTTAATTAATTTATCTTGCAGTGCTAGAGATTAAACCCAGGGCTTTATACATGCTAGGCAAACTTTGTGCTATTGAGCCTTTCCCCATTAAAGATTCTTATTCTTGCCAGGCATGGTGGCACACGCCTTTAGTCCTAGCGCTCTGGAGACAGAGGCAGGTGGCTGGAGGCCAACCAGTGATACCTAGTGTGAGACCCAGTCTCAAAATCACCCCCTTCCCCAAAAAAATCTTTTTCTTTTTTTATAATTTTGGAGCTGTTTTTAAAAATATTTTATTTGTTTTTATTTTATGTGTCTATGTGTAATGACTGCATATAGGTAGGTACACCCATGTTGTGCAGTGCCTGTGGAGGTGAGAAGAGGGCATTCAAGTCACCTGGAACTGGAGTTACAGATGGTTGTTAGCCACCATGTGGGTGCTGGGAATTGAACCCGGCTCCTGTACAAGAGCAGCCAGTGCTCTTAACTACTGAGCCATTGCTCCAGCCTCTTGGGACTGTTTTGAAGATCTTTCTCTCTATTTTTTTCTACAGGAATTACTCTCATTTGGTATGGATTTCATCTCTACAAATTCAATTTGCATGTGGTTATTTTCAATATCTCCACATGTATTTTTAATATTTTATTGTTTTTATTTTATTTTATGTGTATGAATGTATTGCCTGTATGTGAGTAAATGCACCTGTATTGTGAAGTGCCCATGGAGGTCATCCACATGTGTTTTTAAAATTTAATTTCTTGGTGCTGGAGAGATGGCTCAGCAGTTAAGAATACTGCCTGGTGTTGCAGAAGACATGAGTTCAAATCCCAGCACTCACATGGCAGCTAACAACTATCCGTAACTCCAGTTCCAGGGGATCTGACAGCCTCTTCTGTCCTCTGCGGGCATTGCATGACACAGGTGTACTTACTTACATGCAGGCATAACACTCATACACATAAAATTAAAAAAAAATTTAATTTCTTGCCGGGTGTTGGTGCACAGCTTTAATCCCAGCATTCAGGAGGCAGAGGCAGAGGCAGGTGAATCTGTGAGTTTGAGGCTACAGGGAAACCCTGTCTCAAAAAGACCAAAAAAAAAAAAAAAATCCTCTGAGTTCAAGATCAGCCTGGTGATAGAGTGTTTCATGTCAGCTAAGACTACACAGTGAGACCCTGTTTCACAAAACCAAAAAATAAAATGAATAAAATGTAATTTCTTATTGAATTTTTGTGAATTTCATACAATATTTTTTGATCATATTTAAAACCTCTCCTGTTTCTGGACCACAGCTTTCTAACCTCCCACCAAATTTCTGTACTCTAACACCTCCCTGCCCCAAATTAAGGCCTATAGAGTCAGGATTGTGTCCCCAAATAACCTTTGATGTGGATTCATCCATTGGAGCCAGGTCAACCTACTAAAAGTCTCACTCTTAAATAAGATTGACTCTCCCTTCCCAGCAGCCATTGACTGCCAATAGTTCCTCAGGTAGGTTTGGGGTTTCTTACCCACTTGCCCATGTCTGTGTTGAGATTTAGTCTGGCTTGAGCTTATGTGGGACTTGTTTGTGCTGTCAGGATTTCTGTGAGTTCATATGAGTTACTGACTAGCTATCCTTGTGGTTATCCACCACCTCTGGCTCTTATACTATTTCTGCCCCCTCTTCTGCAATGGTCCCTGAGCCTTGGAGGCAGAAGTTTGATATAGGTGTCCTAATCACGGATAAGCACTCTTTAGCCTCTTATTCTCTGCACGTTGGCCAGTGGGTCTGTGTTAATCACCATCTGCGGCATAAGGAAGCTCGTCTGCTGCGAGTTTATCGATGGTTAATGCAGACAGGTCTGGGAAAGCTGCACACATGTTTTTGAAGGTGTAAAATATAGTTTTAATAGTAATTTAACTCAATTTTGAGTTATTTTCAGTTGATTTATTTCTCTTTTCATTGTATATCACATTTTCCTGTTTCTTTTGCTTGCTTAGTAATTAAAAATATTGTTAGGAGTCAGATATAGTCAATTTTATTTTTTTGTGTTCTATATAGTTTTGTCTTATAGGCTGAACTTAGCCTTGGGACACATTTGTTTGGAAACAGTTTGATCATTTTGAGTATTGTTTTTATTTTTATTTTTTTGGTCTTTTTGAGACCAGGTCTCCCTGTAGCCCCACCTGTCCTGGAACTCACTGTGTAGACCAGGCTGGCCTTGAACCCACAGAGATTCACCTGCCTCTGCCTCCCAAGTGCTGGGATTAAAGGCATGTGTCACCACGCCCAGATTGAGCATTGTTTTTAATGCTTACTAGCTGGGACAGCACTGCTTATTCTAGAGGTAATTTTTCCCTACTTCTGAGGCAAGATCATTCTGAGTACTCTATCAATTGCTCCAGGATTGTGAGTTTTTCAGTGTGGTTTCACTCTCTGTGTGAATGCTGGGCACCACTACCTCCAGCTGGTTATTCTGTGGCCTTCCGTAGTCCCTGTATATGAATGTGATGATACTCAACTAGATGTTTGAGGTAAACTTTCTATAGGTCTCTAGAGGTCTCTCCGTACCACTTTCTCTTCCCTGGTTTGCTGTAATGTGAACTCTACTGTCTTGCTTTCTCCGGACTCTAAATTTGTCTCTTCAGTTCAGTAGGTCTGCTAGGCTCTGCTTGAGTTAGCCCTCCTGAGCCTGGCTGAAAACTGGCTGGAGCAGTCACATCACTCTTCGCATTTGTTTTCAGTACTTAAGGCATCACTCTTCTTTCTTGCCTTGCTAACTATTTTATATATTTTGTGCATTTTGTGGTTGTTACAAGTTGGATGGTAAATCCTTTTCTGTTACTTCATCTTAGGTGGAAATGGAAGAAGTTTTATTATTCTTTGTAAACTTCTGTATTTTGTGAGATTCATTTGGAATGTAGAGAGTGTTTCCCACACAGTACCTAGTGACTCGAAAGTACATAATGACTTGATATCAGACTGGGGCCTCCGAAACATGATATGTCTGTCTACTCTGAACAAGTCTTCATCTCTTAGTTAAGCACACATCAGCCTGAGTTATAGCTAATGACATTTAATACTAGACTTCTAGCCCATTACAGTGTAATGAGAAATATAGTTGCCATGTCTTGTGTGTCCAGTGGAATCTAATTAAATAGTAAATCCATGATTCCCTCCCTCCCTCCCTCCCTCTTTCCCTCTCTCCCTCTTTCTATCTCTTCCTCTTTCCTTCTCTTCCTAATTCCCTATCTTTTCTCTTTCTGAGACAAGATTTCACTACACAGACCAGGCTGACCTCCAACTCCTGATCTTGGCTCAGTCTCCCTAGTACTAGTATTGTGGACTGTGCCACCATATTAGGCAAGAAAGAATGACTTCTTAGTTTTGAATTCTAGTTCAGAGTAGGATCATCTGATTCATCTACCTATATTTACAGTGCTACCTCCTTCCCACAGATGGCTCCTACGTGCATACTGACAGCATACTTTCTGACCAAACTCATTTTGATTGCATCCATTCTTCAGATATTTTAATTCTTAAAGTACACAGATTGACACCTAAAATTATGTCTTGATAGCCATAAGTTCATCTGTATCTTTAAAGCAACTCTTCATATCTTTTGTTTGTTTTGAGACAGGATCTCACTATGTAGTCCAGGCTGGCCCCGAATTCACAGAGATCCACCAGCCCCTGTCTCCTGAGTGCTGGGATTAAAGGTGTATCCATGCCTTGTACCTGTTAGTACCCTTGGAGATCAGAAGAAGGAATCAGATCCCCTGTAGCTGAAGTTAACAGGTGATTGTGAGCTGCCTGATGGGTGCTAGGAGAGAACTCAGGTCCTTTGCAAGAGCAGTACATGCTCTTAATTGCTGTGCTATTATTGCTCTAGCTTCAGCCTTCCCCCTTGCTTTGAGGAAGAAGTCTCATGTTGCTCAGACTGGTCTTGAATTTGCTATGTTACCAGAGACTGGCCATTTTGCCCCTCCCATTTCTCTCTCATCTCTACCCCTTACTGAAACTATTTCTTCCCAACAAGCCCCTCCTACTTTGATGGCTTTTTCTTGGTGGACTCACTGAGTTTAATTATGGTTGCCTGCATGAATATGAGTCGGGCTTATTTACTTGAACATGGGCAACTTAGAGGCTACACACCACTGAAGAAAAAGACACCTCTCCCATTGTACCCATTAATTGCTCATAGTCCTCATTGAGGAGTGGGGCCTTCAGAGCCCCTCCCTGATACATGATGAAATGGTGACAGGTCCAGGCTTGCGCAGGTCTTATGCAGGTAACCACAGCTGCAGGGAGTTCGTAAGTGTAATGGCCATGTCATGTGCAGAAGACAGCGTGATGCAGCAGTACTTCCCAAGTTCTAGCTCTTACACCTCTTCTACCCCCTCTTTGGAGATGTTCCTTGAGCCTAGGAGGGGGTGATATAGATGTCCTGCTTAGGAATGAGCACTTCACAGTCACTTAGTCTCCACACTTGACCAGTTGTATTAACTATCACTCAGTGCACAAAAGCTTCTCTGATACAGGCTGAGAGCAGCACTAATCTACACTTAAAAGTAGAAGGTGGTTTGACTCATGTCCATTTAGTAAAATAGTAGTAGTAAGTTCTCCTCTAGGACTTATGACCTTTGTTCTCTAGCTGTGGGCTCTTGAGCAAGTTTATGGTACCAGACATTAGTTCCCATCTGTGAATTGAGCCTTATTTCAATCAGAAAATGGTTGGTTACCCCCATAGTAGTCATTCCACAGTTGCACCAGTGAGCATAGCTTGCCAGGAAGGGTCTATTGCAGCAGCTTGCATAGGACCTGGTCCTGAACTCTTGATCTTCCTGAAGGCTTGTAGTATAGGCATGCCTGACCATGCTTGGCATTCTTCCCTTTTTATATATTACCATTATTTGTTAACTATGCAGGTACTCATTTCTTCTTATGTAGATTCTTTTGTGAAGCCATCTTCACTGTCATCATATTTATTGACTTAGAAATATTAATTTCTTGAAAGATGAGTTCTAAGAATCTTTTACATGCATACTTTATGTTTGTCCCTTAATTATTTTATGAAGCATTTACTGAACATTGAATATTCCACAGATATAGGGATACCCTGGAATAGTTCTGTGTAGAGAACTCTGTTCATACTACTGTCGTAGCTTGGTCAGGCTCTATGTAGTTGTCTTTGTTTCAAATCATTTTGTTAATAACAATATTGACTTTGTGTTTCATTGATTATGAGATCTGACTTGTAAGGTAAACATGGTAGAATTTCTTTTTTTTTGGTCTTTGTGAGACAGGGTCTCCCTGTAGCTCCAGCTGTCCTGGAACTCACTATGTAGACCAGGCTGGCCTTGAACTCACAGAGATTGCCTCCTGAGTGCTGGGATTAAAGGTGTGCACCACCACGCCCGGCCTAACATGGTCGCTTTTTAAAGAATTACATTTATTTTTAAATTGACACACAAAACATAAAAATTTTACATATTAACAGAGAACCATGTGATGTTTTGGTTTATGAATACATCATATAATTTTCGAATCAGGTCTAATGATTCAAAATCATCATCTCCTCAAACGTTTACTATTTCTTCAAGGAGAACATTTAAATTCTTCTAGCTTTTTGGATATATAGTACATTATTGCACATTAGTAACTACTGACCATTATTTCACAATTCTTGAAGTCTTTCAGAGAAGTAGGTAACTTTTTTCATGAGTGCTTTGGATCATTAAATTGTTAATATCACTTGGTAAGAGATGGAATAAAATCTACTAGAGTCTACAAAATACCAACTATAGTGATAGCAAATCAACCATCTTCAGAAAGTAAATGGAGAAGTCAGCCAATCTTTTTGATGGGCTTTGATGTAAAGCAGTTCCTTAATATATATCAATATGAAAGTGACTGAAATTTTCTGTTTTTAGCAACTAAATTGATCTTAGGTTTTGCTTTCCAGGTGGATTGGACTCTGAATATTGGAGAGCAAGCCCTTGATATATGCATTGTCCCTTTCAATCAGTCTGCATCTTCTGTCTTTGTCCTTGGTGAGAGGAATTTTTTTTGTCTTAAGGATAATGGGCAAATTCGATTCATGAAGAAGCTTGACTGTAACCCAAGTTGTTTCCTCCCATATTGCTCAGGTGGGTGGGAACATTTCTCTTTTATATTTTTGATATATTAAGACCATGTAGTGTGCATACATAGACACAGACACACACCCCCACACCCACCAGAAAAAATAACACTCAAACACAAATTTAAAACATCTAGGAAAATAGTTTTATGTTGAATGTGTAATGGAAACTTAAAGACTTTCAAAGTTTGAATAGCACTTTTATATAAAGCACATTCTTGGTTTTGTCAGTCATTTTATGTTGCTTAAGATCACTTGTAGAATTGACTTATAGCACACTAGTGCTTTCCATAATCTACCTTTTCAAGATGCTGCCATGAGTACATCAGTCTTTTATAAACAGAACAGTAATATCTGATAGAATGACTTGCCCAAGACAAGGCCAGTAAATCATTAGTTTAAATGTGTTACATGTTAATGAAATTCGTACTTTCTAGATGAAATGCAAACATATTGGTCACTTTCTATGTGTGTAAAATGGTTTGTTCCTTTTTGCTTTGGTAGCTTGAAGTATTATTACCTAAAATCTTTATGTGTTAAATCCAAGATATTAGAATTAGGTTGTAATATAAATCCCACGGAAGTAGTTATACTGTTTTAAGTGACCATTCCTTTTTTTTGTTGTTGTTGTTGTTTGTTTGTTTTTTTTTGAGGCAGGGTCTCCCTGTAGCCCCAACTGGCTTGGAACCCACTATGTAAACCAGGCTGACCTTGAAGTCACAGAGATCTGCCTGCCTCTGCCTCCTGAGTGCTGGGAGTAAAGGTGTGCGCCACCATGCCTGGCCTTACATGACCACTCTTACTATCTTCTTTCTGTATCTTCAACCTGCAGTTTCGGAAGGAACAATAAATACTTTGATTGGAAACCATAACAACATGTTGCATATTTATCAGGATGTGACACTGAAGTGGGCCACTCAGCTTCCCCACGTTCCCGTGGCAGTAAGAGTGGGGTGTTTACAGTAAGTGGTTTAATTTAACACAATTTTATTAAAGCATTTTGTTGAGTTTTATCTTTCATGAAGCAGGGCTCGTCCTGTCCCGGGCTGGCTTTGAACTCACAATGTTCTTGCAGAGCTGTCACACCTGGCTCTGATTAAAGGATCTTTGTCAAGGAATTCTGTAGAATTTTGTGCAATAATGGCAAGTGATTTCACTAAAGAATTATAGGTGATATTGTAGTGTAAATATTAGTAGTAGAAATCAGTTTTCATGGAAAAGTATGTAAAATGCCTTAATTCCAGTATTTCTGGGAAGTTATGCCTCATGAATTAAAGATGGAAACTGTTGATGAAAATGTTTTTCTTGATAGATTATTTTCTTTAAAATGAAAAATATATCTTCTAGTACTTGATGGGTGTATCAGTTATTGTTAAATACTGTGACCAAAAGCAACTTATGGAAGAATTTGTTTTGGCTTATAGTTCCAGTGGGAGAGTCCATAAAGGGGGATGGGGGGGGGCATGGCAGCAGGTGACCATATCAGGAAGCTGAGCAAGTACATCTTCAATTACAAAGACACACAAAACAAAGAGAGCGAATTGGAAGGGGGGTGAACTGGAAATGGGGAAATCTAGAAGTGGGGTGAGGCTATCAACTCCCAAAGCCCTACCCCAGTGATATACTTCCCTCAGCAAAGCAATACCTCCTAAAGACTCCATACCTCCCAAACACCACCACCAACTGGGGACCAAGAGTTACATACTTGTGCCTATGAGGGACATTTCTCTTTCAAATCACTTCTTTCCACTCCCTAGCTCCCATAGACTCATGACCATATCATAATGCAAAATATATTTAGTTCAACTTTAAAAGTTTCCATAGTTTTTAAAAGTCTAAAGTCTCTTCTGAGACTCAGGTCATTGTAACACCCTGTAAAATCAGAAAGACAAATTACATCCAGCATACAATGGCACAGAGCATATAGTCACATTCTAACAGGGAGGAATCGAGGCATAGTGAGCTGGAGCTCTGGCCTCTTCACATGAACCTGAAGTTTTGGACCCCTACCATGAGCCACAGTTCCATGTACCTCTGGTGTTAGGCTGATTGTGGAACACAGTAGAGCATGGAGAACTTCCTGGTGTTGGGCAGCAGTTTCAGTCTCCTCTGAGAGATTACATTCCCCACAGCCCCCTCCCCTGAGGTCTTAGGTTGTACATGGCAGAGGCTTTGCCTCTTATGATGGGGACAGGGGAGGCCTCTGTTATTTACAGTTTATGGTCTTGGGAGGACTGACTCTCTGGAATGGACCTCTCACCTCCCCTGAGTACCAGCTGTTATTCTCACTCCACATGTGGCCCTGGGTGTTCAGGCCTTGATGTTGGACCTCTCCCATTACCAGGCACCAAGAGGTTTTCTGTTATTTTTCTATTATTCTTCTACAGCCCCAGTATGCCTTCACCTATGCCCTAATTGAACTTCTAGAGATAAAAATCACAGTCTGAGAAGTTAAAAACAAAAAGAAATAGTGCTGTAATAACTAAACTGGTATAATTCTCAAACTAAAAATATGTAATTATATCTTAGAATATAAATATGAAATTCTGTATGTCTACTATAATTTTTGAGTATTGTTTGTTGGCAAAACTGTATTACCAAGCTTCAATGAAATTTGTCAGTGTTCCTCTGTGTCTGCCATTTCCAAATTCTCCACCTATGCAAAGTCTTTCAATATAATCGTGTTACTTCTTTTTGTAATTTTACATGTATGAATGTATTGTCTGCATTTGGGTAAGTGCATCCATGTCCTGAAATGCCTGTGGAGGTCAGAAGAAGGCATTGGATGCCTAGAACTAGAGTTACAGATGGTTGTTAGCCACCATGTGGGTGATGGAAATCGAACCTGGGTCCTCTGAAAGAGCAGTTAGTGCTCTTAACTGCTGAGCCAGCTCTTCAGTCCCCATGTTACTTCTTAAAGAAAGCAATGCTAATAAAATATTTTTAAATAAAATAAAAATAAAATGTTGGGCAACTTTGAATAAGTGTTGGGCCTTTGTAGCTTCTTTAGAGAAACATCTCTTCAAGTTCTTTGCCTATTTTTTATTCAGACTGCTTTCTGCTCTTGAGTTATATGTTAATTTTTTATCAGATTTATGGTTTTCAAATACTTTCTTGCATTGTGAAGTTTGCATTTTAATTTTATTGATTGCTTCCTTAGTTGTCAAAGTTTTAGCTTAATGAAGTCTCATTTATTTTGAATTTGTTTAAACTTTTACTGTCATATTAAAAATCATCTCTACTAGAAAAAAATTAAGTGAAAAATATAATACATATCTTAAAATTAAACTTATAAAATTCATCAAAAGCAACAGAAATATGACACAATTTATCAGTGAGTAGTTTTTCAAGATCATTAGTGTAAGAGACAAGATGTTGAAAAACTCTTTAGCACCTTAGATTAAGTGCAGGAACTGAAAGTCTCATACATGTCTAGGCATAACTTTCTCTAAAGCTTCATATAGTCCCAGATATCTTCAGGTCTGCTTATTTAGAACATTATTGCTCATTTCAAAACTCTTCAGTGGTACCTGTATTTAGTAATCAGGATGAGTTATTGCCCTGGTGAGGAGCTGAGTGTAAAATATTGTTGGAGCTGATGAGGGCCATTCATGTTTGAGTTAGTGGTTAATCCACAGTATGTATGCTGCAACTCTATCTAGAAAACACGAAGTATATTTTTTTAAACTTTAAGAAAATGATTTATTTTATGTGTATGATTCTTTCCCCTGAATATATGTAAGTGCACCCATGTAATGCCTGCAGACGCCAGTAGAGGGTGTCAGATCTCTTGGAACTGGAGTGACAGATTGCAATCAGGCGCCATGTGAGGACTGGGAACTGAACCCAGGTCCTCTGAAAGAACAGCCATGCTCTTAATTGTTGAGCCATCTCTCTAGCCCCAGTACTAAATATATTTTTTTAAAGAATCTGCTTTCTTTTATTTTAAGAGAGAACCATCACTTATTTGTAATTGTTATGCATTTAACAGGAATTATAGTTTTTAATAGTTGAAGAATGATTAACATATCTGAAATTGGCTTTTGCAGTGTCTACCAGATGGTCTTTTAAAGTTCAACGAAGCCGACTCACCAGACATTTTATATCAGATATACTTAGAAAGATTTAAAACAGGAAAAACATCTTGGCACCAGGGCAGTGTCATCTGTTTCTCTTCAGGGAGAATAACTCTTACAGCAGTTCACAATAGCCTTCCAAAACCTGTTTGTTCTCTTTGGTCCCACTTGTGACAGCTCAGGTGCAAGAAGGCAAATCCACACTGGTGGGTATGTAGCCAACATGTTGGCTAATTTTGTATGTCAAATTAGGGTCCATCTGAAGTTGATTCTACTTCCAAGGTAGTGGCATCAGGCACTTTGACTTTATTGAATACAACAGTTGTTCCAGTGACCATTGGAATCCTAGGAGCACAACTGAATGTTAGGATAGTACTTCTCCAGATACAAAAGTTTCTTGCTGTTAAAAGCTCCATGCCATTTTGTCTGAGTTGCACATTTTCACACTTTGTTTCTACCTTCAGTTAATGAGGGAAACAAGCACACAAAAACCCTGCACCATAATGGATAGCAGTACAACAACCATGTTCTTCATGAAACTTAAGCTTTACAAGGTTTAACCAGTCACCAGCAGTCTGGTCCCATGATGGTACACCATCATCAAAAGGTCAGTCAAGAATATGCATGCACTGGGTATGGTGGTGGACACCTTTAATCCTAGCATTTGCAAGGCAGAGGCAGGAGGATCTGTGTGAGATTGTGGCCAGCCTGGTCTATATAACGAGTTCCAGGCCAACTGAGGCTATGGGAAGACCCTGTCTTGAAACAAACAAACAAACAAACAAACAAACAAACAGACAACCTCCCCGACAAAAAAGAATATGAATGCCTTCTTTTTTTCTCCACAAGAGTAGTGTTAAAAGCTGCTTCACAAACTCTTACTATTGTGGTAACTCCATATTTCGTTTTTCTTTTTAAATTTTTACAAAAACTTTATTGAGAATTTCATACATGCATATAAGGTGTTTTGATCAAATCCATGCCCACTCCCTCCCCTCCAACATTCCCCCCTCTGTAGAGGTAACCCTAAAATCTTTTAAGGATTAGGTACAAGCTCCCAAATACTTTTGAAATTTTTGGCCTTGGGACAGAGAATGTTGCTAACAGGCCCAAGGACATTTTGCCTTTTAGCTAAGAAACTGGCTACTTTTCTTTGGGGTCTTTTTACCCTAACTGCCTAGCCAGTTCCTACCTCCTATTCTTATCACACCATCCTTTGAAGAGGTTACCCAGATTGCCGGTAGAGAATAGGGATGCCGCCACTATGGCTTCTTCCATGCGGAACAGGGACACAGGGTGAGGCAATTGGAGTACCCCTTCAGTGGGTCTATCTAAAAGACTCCCAAATTGCATAACTCTTGTCTCTAAGGGAAAAAGAAAGTCCTTGAATCGTGAATAGGAGATGTGAAGGAGAAGTAAAGGCAAGAGTAATTAGCATTACAAGTTCTAGACAGGGA